ACTTTTTTTTTTTTGTAAATTTTTTGGGGGGGTTGGGGTTGGGTTTTTTTTTTTTTTTTTGCATTTATGTTAAAAGAAACTATACAAAAAAATGTTTTAAAAGAACATTGTCCATGCACTATTTTTGTCTGAAATCTTTTTTCAGAGTTTGTGCATCATGTTCTTTATTTTACGAGCATGTCTGTGCCTGAAGCTTAAGTTAATACTCACTGTACTAATACATAAAGGGGTAAAATCCAGGCCCCATTAAAGTCAATGGGAGTTTTGCCATGGACTTGAATGTAGTCAGGCTTTCACCCAAGGTGTTTCTGTGGGACCTGATCCAGCTATACTTATAACTGAGGCCAAATTCCCATTATGCCAAATTCTGCTTTCAGTTACCCTGACAGACATCTGGAGTCACTCTGCTGCCTTCATTGGAGGTAGTCCAGTTTTGTACCAAGTTAAATGGGGCAGATTAAATGAGTTTGAACCATTGGATATTTTTCCTGTAGCAGGATTTTAAGATAACTTCTCACAGATTCTAGCTTTGCTGGATCAAGGACCCCTGCCATTAATACTTAAAGCCCTGGGGGGAAAAAAAAACACTAAACGTGATAGTCAAATGTGTTACTTTATAACAGAAATACTTGTGACATTTTTCAGAGCTAATCTTTTAAAATGTTATACTGTGTTATTCAGCAGAAGAAAAATATCTTATGTAATAAAAACACTTACTATCAAGCTGTAGTACTATAGTAAGTGCTTACTAGTGTGTGTCCCATTCCTGCAAATTATGTAGCAGGTACATGCCATTATATACACTGACTCAGCAGGAAGTTGGGATTGCTGTATTACTCACAGTGTGAATTATGTAGGTATTTCTCAATGGGTACAAATACAAGTTTTATGCCGCAATATAGCACCATATAGTCTGCATGGGCCACATCCTTTATATATAAAAATAATGCTGATATTTTGGAATTTGTAACATATTTACTGGTGCTATTTTCTTCCTTATCTCCTCACCTGTGAATCTCTTATTAGGAGTACAAGCTTCAGAGAGGAGAGAAAATTATTTAGACATATGCAAAACTTCACTCAGTTTACTTCATCTAGTTTTTCTGTCTATACATAATAGACAAATTGTAAAACCTGATGTATCAAAGCCTAGGGGGCAAGAAACCAAACTCTTACATTAGTAGCAAAGGGGCTTTCCTGAGTATCTAACTGCCTGTAGTCCTGTTTTCATGGTAGTGGGCCTTCAGATATTAAATTATAAGCTTATTGCTTGTCTTGAGCTTGCTATTACTCAGTTTGGGACTTAAAAACCTGTGATTGTGTGTGTAAATTCTTCCTTTGAGGGAGCCGCATAACTAAGGGAAAACTATTTGAGGGGGAGGGGCACAACAATAGCTACCACCAGAGCTGGAGGCTGGTTGTGTTGCCCCCCTCCATCAGTATAGCAGTTGTTGCTGCTTTGTGCACTGAGGCTTCCCCAGAGGGTGGAGACAACCTGTTACACCATTCTGATGATAGGAAACTGCATTTTTGAAAGATATTAGTGTAATATAAGAATAAGTCTATAATATAGACTTTTGCTTATTTACTTTTCATTTTAAATGACTAGTTCTTGATTTAGTCCTACTGGAAATTGAATTAAGGGCAGGGGGGCAAATGAGGTGGGCAGAAGTGCCCAGTACATTATAATTTAATCACACAGCTCTACAGTTTAACAGAAGTTTCTACCATTTATCAAATGCACATTCTCAGTACACATTAGAGATGTGTGATGTACAGGCGTGCGCATGCATGTATGTAGTGCACATGGGTAAGTATAAATGTTACGTTACCATTTGCTCAGTGTGTGATTTCCTGCCAGTCTTAAATTACAGTAATTAGCCTCCTCCTTTGTGGTTCATTAATTTCCCATTAGGTAAAATTTCTATTAATTATGCACAAGCCTCGTAACATTTTAAAATACATTAGAAATCCAAAAGAGATGTGTAAAATCTGAAGAGAGTCTATTTTCTGTAAAGGGTTTGGTGCCATTGAATACTGAAAGCTTTGGTCCTTGTCATTTATACTCGCTTATAGAATAGTCCCACAACATTTTGTAAAAAGTGAGAGCATTTCGAATTTTTAAACCAGCTCTATGGAAAACCTATTCCATTTCTATAATATTTTAAATCCCTTTCTCCCAACCCCAAACATAGTTCAATTTTTTTAATATCTTTCCTATATTCGGCACTAGAGCGGGTTGATTTTTTTTCATCTGAAGTACTCTTTTCCTGTGAAAACAGCCTTTTTTGAAAATAAATTTTTTTCTTTTTTCCTTTTTGGAATTTTTTCATTTAAAAAAAAAAAATCACAAAAAAAGAAGTCAGGGAGAAGAATATCCCAAACTGGAGAAACAAAACAATGACTTCTTGTGTTTTCGAACTGAAATAAGATAACTTGAATTTTTTTGCAAAATATACAGTGGCAAAAATAGTGCTTACTATTTTTTAGCCAGCTTTGGCCAACATGCATTTGCCATGTAGTCCTGTTTTCCTCTTCCTTGGCACTTGTCTGGGCACAAGATTTGTACCATTTCAACAGTGCTGGTATAATGGGCAGTACCATTTCCCTAGAATGGACTCAGTTACTCCAGCATAAAGGAGCTTACACTTAATAGGAGCCTGACTCCTTCAGGAAGGTGAATAAAGAACAAAACAGTAGGGCTGTGTGACGCTTCAGTCACTGATTCAATTCGGTGAAGATTCAGCCTATTTGGTGGCTGAATCTCTGAATCCAAATCAAATCAGAAGATCCTTTAATTTCTTTGAATTGAATCTGAACCCTCCTAATCAATTCGGAGAGATTCAAAAAGATTTGGTGATTTGGACATAGACACAGCTTTAAATATTTTTTCTACATACCTCAAGGTAGCAGGCGGCTTGTGAACACTGCGATGCTGGGGCAGATGGAGCATCCCACAGAAGCATGGGGCGGCATGCTCAGCAGCAGACCTGGAAGTGGATCAGAAGCATGGTGTCTCCTGGATCTGGGGGTGGGGTACTCAGGGTCCCCCTGCAGCCAATCACTGAGCTGGGGGGCTGTGGGGGCCCCCAGTGCACTCCCCAGTGGATCCAGAAGTGGACTGGAAGTACTTAAGGCCCACTTCTGGGTTCACTGCCGAGCATGTGCCCCCACCCCACGCTCCTGTGGGATGCTCCATCAGC